GGGGGGGGGGCACGGTGGGGAGGGGGCGGCGGTGCGTTTAGCTGTGTCCACGGAAGAGGAAAGAGAAGCCGAGGAAGCAGCCAAGGAGCGAAAAGAGAAAGGCCACCTCTTCCCTCCGCTTTCGGGCGAAGTTTCGTAACGCGACCAGACGTTAGACCGTCAATTAGACGTTCGGTCGAATTGTCGCGGCACCGGCCAGTAAAAATGAGCGGAACCGTGAGGGAAACGGGAACGGTCACGGGATTGTTGAGACATTCTATTAAATGTACAGTTATGCTAGCTTTAACTTCGTCGTTAGAGATTTGTTCTTTTCGTTAGATGGTTCTCGGTATTCCATTTCTCTATCTTCGTTTCGTCTTTAATCTCTCGAGCGTGCGATTCGAACACGTTCGAAATTTCTACCATGTGATGCACGATGCACGATTTGTCGATGTAATATTTTTTGCCGGATGGATAGTTCTTATTTCTCCAGCTTTTTCTGCTGGCAAGATTCGACGCCCGATTGATAATCGCATTTCTGAAACACGCGTGACCTGTAATTGCGTGATTGCTCGGTTCTTTCTTCTAAGAACGCAGTGACTTTCTCCCGTCGTTCTCGCATTTTTCGGTCTTTTCAAGCCATGGACTATTTCACTGTTATCTTGATAATTGAAATTACACGTATCAGTTAAAATTGAATTCGGTCGAAATTATCAATTAGTCAAATATTCAAAGAAATTTCTTACAAATCCTTTCATCTATCTTAACATAATTGCAAATTTTAGAAGAACATATTAGTTAAAATTGAATTCGCTTAAAGTTATGAATTAATCAAATATTCAAAGAAATTTTTCACAAATCTTTTCATCTATCTTGACACAATTGTAAATTTTAGAAGAATATACTAGTTAAAATTGAATTCGCTCGAAATTATGAATTAATCAAATATTCAAAGAAATATTCATAAAATTTTTTCATCTATCTTGAAACAATTGCAAATTTTAGAATATATCAGTTTAAATTAAATTCGCTCGAAATTATTAATTAATGAAATATTCAAGGAAATTTCTTACAAAATCCTTTTATCTGACACAACTGCAAATGCAAGCAGTTTCTTAACCTCTTGCGCTGTTCGCGAACCAAACCGTATACAATAATTCGCCGCTTTCTTTCTGAACTCGTTGATATGATATCACTGGAGAGGAATTATTACTAAGAAGTAATAAATTCATTATTTGTTTTGTCTCGGTTATATTTAAATATATTTAAAACTGAGAAAATATTGCAACTTTGGGACAGAAAATTCTCGATTCCAGCGCAAAAGGTTAACGCTTCTTTCATCATTCGACTCATCATCATCATATTCTTCTCGTTAAACACAGGAAAGTCGTTCTACGTTTCCGTGTGCCAAAGAACTGTTCGCGTCGCGGCGCTGAATTATAGATGGGACAGGCCATAGCGTCCGTTCGAATCGATGCATCGCGACCGCATCTACTTCGTGTTGTCGTCCTCTGCCTGCTGTCCTCTTCTACTTATTACACCGAGAGCGTATTGCTCTCTTCTGCCTGTTCGAGTTGGCTGCAATTTCGCGCACGTGCCTCGTAAAACTTTCATCCGAATGTGCACACGCGCAACCACACCGGAAATTTCCGAGTACACCATCACCGTGCGCCTTCCTGAAACATTAATACGTCGTTTCCAACGATTAATTCTGCACGCGGAATCGCCGCCACGCCGCGTTTCACAAAACTGTCCTCTGTCCGCGAACGTTCACGAACGATCCGCGTTTAATAATTTAAAGGATTTCGGTAATTATCGTGCGGCTGAGTTTCCACGACATTGAATATTCCGTTTCAAGTGTTTTATGGGCAGTTCTCGGACGGAAGAACTTGGGGAACACGATCCGTCCGCACCTGGTTCTATTTAAACACTATAGTTATTGCTCTTTTAGGAGTCCTTTTTTTTCTCTCTTATTTTTCAGTGGCGTAGGATGTTTAACGCTTTATTGTTTATTGATTCGATGGAGGAAGGTCGATTATAATTAGTGAAGAAAATCGAAGCTAATTCTGCATTCGTAGATATCAGAGTCCGTCGTGCTACGCTTCTCAGCATTCGCTTTCTAGCAATTTAAAATACGAATAGAACTGTATCACGAGGGAGCGACTCGCGGTTCCTCGCTAATTCGAGTCATCGTCAAGCGCGTCAAGCCACGAGTGTGACTGGAAACGGCAAAGCTGTTAGGGAAACGTGAGTTTCTAAATCGTATTTTTTTACGAGTCGTTAGCGTTCATTCCGACTTGTTGTTCCTTCAAGTTCACGAGGATTTCGGATTGCCTGTGTGTTACTCGGCACGTCAGAATAGGCTCGAGAATATCTAACGCGTGCAGATTCAGGCCACCGGTTCTTAGAAACGATTAGTCCTTCTTGGTTCTCGCAACCACGCTCAGTCTCGAAATCGGGTTTCACCTCCAATCGCTCAGAATCGTTGCACAATGCAGCAACGTCAAGCGAAATCGTTGCTCGACGCGCGATATCTTGAATATTTGGCCGAGCTAATGAAATTCCATCGTCAGATATTATACAATTCTATTGTTAAATTTTACACAATCTCTTGCGATTTGATGTTCATGTCGTTCATACATTGTCATTTGTAGTCAATCGAAAATTAGTAGAACATTCGTAGTATTATTTCGCTAGGAATTTAAATCATTATCAGCGTCAATATGTGAGTTTCTTCGGATTGGTTTGTATTACCATTATCATTCACAACACAAGATCCTAAGGTATTTAGGCCACGAAAGTGGCCCCTAATGCAATAACGAACTATCTAATTAAGAACGTCAAACCGTCGAACGGAGCTTCCAGCTTGTTCAACGAAGAGAAAAATGGAATTCTCAGTTTATTATACGCGTAAGCCACGTGATTGAAGTCAGTGAAAGTGTGTGCAACAGTATGTAAATTGAAACGTACTTGATAATCTTATACCTTCATGAAGTAGTTTTCTGTCAAATTCTCGTGGAAGATGCTTTGAATGTATTGGACCGTGTAAGAGGCTTTGAATGAATTATGGGAATAGAGACTGTTGGATGATGTTTTCTCGAGAGAGGATGCGAAAGGCTGATTCCTATGTGTGTCATGGCCAAAGCGGCCCTGGTGTGTTTTGCAAACTGTTAGAAAAGTTCGGCTGGCTCTCGGTTCCCGTGTTGCAAATTATCGTTGAACGAGAGGAGATACGTTTCAACTCAGGCCTACTTTCGTAACATCTTTCGAACCGTTGAACCTTTCACAAATTCGTTAAGTTCGTTCGATTTGATTCCCTGTCTTTCCAATCCTTCTTCAATCCCATACTTAGGTTTTTCAGATTTTCCCCATTTTCTAATATATTTCGATGAAAACGTGAAGATGTATGATCTTTCATCGAACGAGCACGTTGGTTTTTTTTTTTTAGAAAAACGGCTCGACACCAAATTTAGAGAAGAATCGTTCGAATTAATGTGTAAAGATCGAATAGATCGTCATCTAATTTTTCCAAGAACTATTGAAAACAATAAAAACGTGGCAACGCATTATCTTAAAAATCAAATCTCTAGCATTTCGATAATCATGCGAGAATAAATCAATAAATCAAATGTCGAAAGTGAGACTCTACATCCATCAAGTGAATCGAACGATTAAGCTGCAAACGAGACACGTGTACTATCTGGATCGCGCAGTTTGCAATGATTGCACGTATCTATCGTACTATAAGATCGGTGTAATGATGGCGATTAGAGAGCACGTAATCGCTCAATTGGTCAGTGATAAGACACAATCTTTCGGTCTGCCATTTTCAAACAATCATTGAGAGCAAGTTTCGAATCCCTGAGCGTCGCTATTTTTTTC